TGTAAATGAGCTGTGTCTGACCACGCCCCCTCTCTGGAAGGGGATTTGGCTCAGGCTTTCTTGCTCCATGTCCTATTGTTTACTGTGAGAAGGCAGACTCAGAGAGCAGAACAAACACCTAGCTGTGGGAGTGTCACCCACCTGGGGGAGGGGCTACTGCCCTTTGTGATGTCATGAAGGGAACTCTCCAAATCATTGTTAATCAGTGTATAAAACTTGACTACATGTTGACTGTGCAGCGCCTCTGTCGATGTGCACATATTAAAGATGTGGTGGGACAAAATGACCATCAGCTTCAGTTTGAAAGTGAAAACATGTGAATAGATTAACAGCTTCATACTTTGTCTGAGAGGAAATGGAGAGAATGAATCACTATGCATGTACACCTTTCTTGTTAAGCCTCCTTTTTTTGTACAGTTACTAATAATAGCTCGTAAATCGAGTTGATGAGATTGATGATCACACTTCTCTACCAATTTCAGCTACACACCCCTTTCCCTCCCGACTTATTTATCATCCTCCATCCCTTGTTTACCCCCTGCTCCCTCCCACTCTCTCTCTCTCTCCCTCTCTCTCTCTCTCTCTCTCTCGTGCTCTTTCCCTCAGCTGTCAGAGTTATTTGTCTCCTTTGAGGAGCAGCCTCAGGGTGCAGCCTCCTTAGCTCAGGTCCACAAGGCAGTGTTGCATGATGGGAGGACCGTGGCTGTCAAGGTCCAACACCCTAAAGTCCAGAGACAGAGCTCCAAGGACATCATGGTGATCGAGGTGAGTCTGAGTCTGTTAAACGATGGATTAAGTTAAAGGTGTCAGAGTTTTCTGGTTGTTCTGAATAACTGGCCTTCAGTATTAACCCCTGATGATGTCATTTTTGCTGTTTCCCCGTCCTTAGTTACAGTGGCCGGTGTTGAACATTAAACATATCTGTGTTCCTTGTGGAGAAACCCCGTGTCTATACTAAAGAAAAACTCAAGGAATACTAATCTTTTGACACATCCAATTTTACTGCAGCTGCACTTTTCTACAGAGCTCCGGAAAGAAACATAGAGGGTTAAACATTTTTAAGGTTTATCCCGTGAAACTTATGACTCTGAGAAACCTCTGTGAGATTTCAAGAAACTTTTACAAAAGCCCAAAAAAATGTTTGCAAGATTGGAGAGAGGAGTCAGTTTAAAAGCAATGAGTTATTGAGGAACATGTCAAAATAAAATACATTAAATCTCTGCAATGTGAGATTAGTCATTGTTAACGTACCACTATGTTTGTGATCAAATGTAGCAATACAACATCTCACAAAGGTTCCTCAAGATTTGACATTTGACATCATATATTTCGCCTATATAGTCTCATCATTTGTGTCTTCTGATTATTTAAAAAGATAAATAAAAATATTGAAGTTATGCCAGAAATTGTCCCAATATTACAACATCAGTTTGAAGTGAAAGTCAACTTTCTGACAATGTAAAACATGTTTCATAAAAAGCTGTTGAGCAGCAGACTTTTCCCAGTAATGAGCTTTGAGTACACAATCCCTTCAGTTCCCCTCGTCCTAATAAACACTGTCATAAAGTGTCAGGCGCTGACAGGACACCACAGTGTGCGTACAGGCCTGCTGGATTGTACATGACAGTGTGGCTGATTGTGATTTGTAATTGGAAGGTGTTACTGCGAGCGGTCCATTGGCTGTTCCCCGACTTCGCCTTCATGTGGTTGGTGGAGGAGGCCAAGAAGAACATGCCGCTGGAGCTCGACTTCCTCAACGAGGGGCACAACGCCGAGCGGGTGGCCAAAATGCTGGGACACTTCCCCTTCCTCAAGGTACACACAGTTATACACACTTTAGATTGTGATGTCATGTAAAATGTCATTAAAACACAGTGTGAGGATTTGGAAAATATTAAAACTCCATGCATTGAAAATAGCACAAAGACAACATCAGGTGTTGAAACTTAGATGTTCCATTGTTTGTTGATGTAGCATTTTCAGTTGTTCAACAGTTCAGGGTGTCCTTTGCCGTATGCTACGCTTCATTGCTTCACCATGCTGTTGTAGTACATGGTTTCGCATTGTCTTGCTGACATAAGCAATACCTTCTCTGAAAAAGTCGCTGTCCATTTGTCAGCATTTGTTGCTCCAAAACCATTAATCCTGTACTGGCTTACAAGAAACAGCTGGTAAGGTTGATCTACCATAAATCCCCTAACATCTGGAATGAGGTCCCACATTATATCAGGATAACCCCCCCATCCCCCCTTTTGGTTTTTCTGTGTGTTGCTGCTAAGTCTGATTGTTGGTTGTGTATTATGTCTGATGTAATCTTTGTTTGTATGTGCTGCTGAACAGGAACCTGCTGTAAACCAGTTTGAACTGAGTCAGGCCCATTTTAACTTTTGTAATGTTCCTTTTAATTATTTCCTGTTTACTAAATACATGAAATGAACAACCTGTTTATATGGTTAAACAATAATGGAGCCTTTATTAAAACGTGCAGGATACCCATGCACCCCAATACCATCACAGATGCTGGATGTTGAACTGGGCGCTGATAACCAGCCCGATGGTCCCTCTCCACTTTAGCCAGGAGGACGGGATGCTCATTATTTCCCAGAAGAATTCCAGATTTTGGCTAGCTGACCTCAGGACAGTTTTGGCCCCGAAAAGGTGCAGCGTTTAAAAAAATCAAGTTGGGGTGCTTCTGGCGTAGTGGTTAGTGCGTGCGCCCCATGTGCGGAGGCTGTGGTCCTCCAGGCGGGCAGCCCGGGTTCGATTCCGACTTGTGGCTCCTTCCCTGCTCTATTTCTCCCTGGTTACTGACTCTGTCCACTCTCCTGTCTCTAAATAAAGACAGAAAATAAACCTTTAAAAATATGACCCTGTTGGGTGAACACACACACACACACACACAGGTAAACATTGAGCTATAATGAGTCCGTCTCGTTTAAAGGCCCTGATTCGTTAATGGAGGTCAAATGTAGTTTTCTTTGTGTCACAGTTTCTTCTCTTCTGCCTGTTGTCTTTTCCAACAGAGGAGGGTTAGCAGAACTCTGCTAATCACTTTTCTAATACGAGACAGTTTAAATTTACCTCAATTATCAGTTCATTTCTTGGTTTCCTTTTTCTTAATTTGTCTGTGTGAAAACTTCTTTTAGCTCCTGGGAGTGTGAGTTCGACTTCTCTCTCCAGCAGTCTGTCTTTGTTCCCTGTTCGGTCCCCGAGAGATTCAACTTCTCCCGTTTTGTCCTCTTTTCTCTCATTTGCTTCTTTTTATTCTGTATTCTTTTTTAATTGTAGAAGTTGTCCTGAGATGAAGACCTCAAACTTTTCCTTCCAGTAAAAGGTTTGACTGAAAGTTCTGCTCAGTACCTGATGAGAAATATTTAAATCTATATCAAGTTTGGTTTCTATTAAATCTTTGTTAGGATTCAATTAATTTATAGATGACATTTCAGCTGTTAAAACCTGTTCTGTGGCTGCTGGCTAAAGTGTTTTACTTAACCTATTAGTCATGTTGAGCCCAATAAATGTAGTAAACAGCGGCCAGGTTTAAAAATAATTGGATCAGCCGTTTAGTCATGAGCTTATTTGGTATTATTTCAAAGAGCAACAGATTCCTCAGAGGCCATGCTCCATCCTTAATGAACGTGTTTACTAAAAGGCCCTGTGGAAATCAGATCAGTCATCTATTTGAACAAGCTTTGATAAATCAAGATTATCTTAATATCTGTGTTTTCTCAAAGTGATTCAAGTGTCACGCTCGTGGCTTCATCTCCCTCACATTCAAACACAATGGACGCTCGTCAACAACAGTGACGCCACCGGAGAGGACAAAATACTGAGCTAAAAATGGAAATGCCTTTGTTATGTAAAGAAAGGGAAAACTTGAATGCGTGATAATCCGGATGCCATCACACACACACACACACACACACACACACACACACACACACACACACACACACACACACACACACACACACACACACACACACACACACACACACACACACACACACACACACACTTACATAATCTGAGAGTTGTGGGTAAAAACTAATCAGAGTCCCAGAGAGGGGAGGATTGTTTGAAGCCTGCTTTAACTTCAGAGAGATGAGGGGAGAGGACTCAGGTTATCTGACGGGCTCTGATTTTAAAGTACCGTCGGTATCCTTTCATTTTTTTAATCAGTCAGAATTTAGTTTTAGACTTTTGGACGTCTCTGGTTTGATTGCTAATGAGTCACTAAGATTTAATGGAGCCTGTGCTGCTGCGTTTCCTTCAATCAAAGCAAATGTGATCTGTACAGTATGAACTCTCCTTTAAGATTGTTTGAGGTCAGGCTTCATTAGATGTTATCTGATGTCCTAATCGTTAACAATATAACAGTAAAGGGACTTGAGCTTGTGTAGCACTTTTCTAGTCTTCTGACTACTCAAAGTGCTTTTACACCACAGATCACACCTACACATTCACACACTGATGGTAGAGGCTGCTGAGTAAAGAGTCCATCAGAAGTGACTAATCTCATTCATACACCACTGACGAAGCAGCAGGAGAACACACCAGATATGTGTTTGCAGGAGCTGGGGATCAAACCCCTAACCTTCCGTTTGGGAGACGACCGACTCTACCACTGAGCCACAGATGCCCCCTACAGTCAGTCTTGTGTTATATCAATTCAAGGTTACATTATTTAGCATATTTGCTTTTTATTTAATTGTTCTTCAATATGTCATTCATAACAGTTTGTGTTTGATAAAGAGGGAGGAGTAGGGGCGAGGATGGCTTAGGAGTTGGGTCGTGCAACTTGTACAGAGGCTATAGTCCTCCAAGCGGGCGACCAGGGTTCGAGTCCGATCTGTGACTCCTTACCTGCATGTCACTCCCCACTCTCTCTTCCTACTGTCTATCCAAATAAAGGAAAAAAAGGCACAACCTGTAGAAAACAAGAGGGTGTTTGATTCCCTGTGATTAAATATTTTTTACATTTAATAGTATAAAAAGGTACCAAAGCTTGGGGCGTCGGTAGCCTAGTGGTTAGTGCATGCACCCCATGTACGGAGGTTACAGTCCTCCAGGCGGGTGACCCCGGTTTGAATCGGACCTGTGGCTCCTTTCCCACATGTCATTCCCCTTTATGTTTGTCCCTAAATTCCAGCTCTACCCAATGTCCTCTCTCTAAAATAAAGTCACAAAAAATAGGCTAAAGAGAGAGAGAGAGAGCAGCGGAGGTTTTGGGTCCCTTATCTTATTATGCTTTCTTCTACTATGAACAGTATGTCAAATGTCAGTACTGTATGTGTTCAGTGGCTATTTCTGTACCTGCACTCTTTGCAGAGTATAAAGAAAAAGTGCATGCCCAGACGTAATAAACATTTAGTTTTCTGTCCACAGGTTCCCATGATCCACTGGCATCTGTCCACAAAGAGGATCCTGACCATGGAGTTTGCAGAGGGGGGTCAGGTCAACGACAGAGACTACATGAAGACACACGGCATCAATGTCAACGAGGTAACTGGCATGCAGCTTACAGACACTGAGGGTTTTATTAAGTGAGGATCCAGGTTCACTCACACACTCACCTGAGAGAACGAACAATAACAGCTCGCCTACACAGCAGCTGCTTTAGTCCTCTGTAGGGCTCTGCATGTTTCTGAGTGTAGGTCAGCTACATTTAGGAAGTGCTAAAAGCCGATTTTCAACAATGACGTCCCACATTAAGAAAACCACAAAAAGAAATAACCTTGAGATGTACACATATACACACGGCTCTGTTAAAACTTCTACTTCTGTGTGTAATAATGAAACCTTTAAGGCTACAACTATGTGCACACTTCAGAGGTGCCTTGTTCATGATTAAGGATAAAGAGCTCTACAACTATTGCCCCTCAGTGGTTTTCCTCTGCATGTATGAAAACATTTGAAGACTTAAAATTAAGTTTATTGTTCCCACAATGTAAACCCGGATGGATACAAACCATTTAGAATAATTTTTTTGAATCTTTAAGGAGGCAAAGATGAAGCCACTCCCCCCGGGTGCTTCATCTGAAATCTGAATCTTTAAGTGTCTAAAAGGGTGTAGCTGTGGCACCCAGAATTTATTGTGTGTTATTGGGTTGTGTTGTGTTGTAACTCTTGTAAACAATATTAATCCTGCCCCAAAGTCAATGTTTTCATCTATTGAAGCATGTCAAGCTCTCAGCACATCGCCATGCCAACGATTACTTATAGCACCACCTACTGGCAACAGGAAATGAACGCTTTGAAATCTGATGTACAGTACAGATCCTCCTCAAACAGGGTCAGAAGGCTGAAAGACCCTGACTATCACCAATTTTGAGAGTGATAGATTCCCCATGTGATGGACACTCTCCAACAGTGAACAGTTATTTATGAATACTTATAAATCAGGTGCAGGTATTGATGAGAGCTGGAACATTGTGTGTTACTACTAAGACACTAAAACCTCCTTATTTTGACACAAAGGTAATTTTTTTGTTACACTTATCAGCAAGTAAGAAGGTCTGTGACGCTGTATTTAAGTGCAATCAGTCACTTTTATTATAAATAAAGAAATAAAGAAATAAATAAAGAAATAAAGAAATAAATAAAGAAATAAAGAAATAAAAGATGACTCAAAGGAATCAGTCCTCGGCACGGCAGCAGCAGAAGCAAGTCACAATTCTCTTGAAGAATTTACGGATCTGCTTCAGCCTTTTTTTAGTGCCGGAGACTCCTTCAGAATCTGGTTCTTTAGGGTTTGAGCAGGGAGGTAGTCCTCCTTCAGTCGACCTTGGGACTGCGTTATCATCATGGGAGTCTTTGATTTGAGCTCCATAAGCAGACCAGCAGGAAACTGAAGCTGCAACTTCCTTTAAGGAGACATATGTTTGTTCTCCTTCACAAGACCAGGAATCTGGAGCCTCACCGGAGGAGAGATCACTGACCTCTTCATCAGAGAGCCAGGGAGCCAAACCGTCATTACAGAAATGTCTCAGATCGGCAACAGTGGACCAGGTAGTTAAATGTTCCTTATGAGACGCTTGGTCACAGGAGTCATTGACTGTCTCTCCAGCGTTTGGAGCTCTTGATCCAGAGGTTTGATCTCTTACATTGGATCCAGTATCTTGGCAGCAGCTCATCATGATTCGAGCGTTTCTCAGACTAGATGGAGAACGACAAATGAGTTGTTAGTAAATCAGTCAATCAATAAAATAAACATAAAGTCGTTCAATCCTCTTGTGCTATCTACTTCAAGTACAAACATGGCAGCCACCTTGAGTGTGTAGAAATCACTTACTAGTCGCTGCTCTCCAGGTGGGTCATAGTGATAAAAGGGTGCTGCAGAGCTTCACGGGGAGTGATCCTCTCATCCGCGTCGAGATGCAGCAGACGTTTTAAGAGGTCCACAAAGACTCTCCTGTCCTTACGCTCGGTAGCGCCCCCTTCTGAGTACAACTGGATTTGGAATGAGATTATTGTAAGTTTATGTAACTCTTTAACGTCACAGAGACAGATTGTTTCTTTTCAATCGGTGTTGACAACTGCAAATAAAATACATGAAGGAATGAAACAAACGGATAAGGGCCCCCAGACGGCAAATCTTGCGCTAGCAGCGGCCATTTTTAAATGATCAAAGTATTTCTTAAATACTTGAAATTCACTTCCAAATTTGTCCCAGAGCCCTAAAGACTTGCCTCATCAGCACATTTAGAAGTCAGGACACTTTGCGTGATTCAAGGGTTAGACTTAAGTATTCATATCAACTGCAGAGAGTACTTACATTAACCAGAGCGTCCAGGCAGCTCGGCAGCTCAGTACAGCTGTTGTGCTTTTGCACTTCAGTGCCGTTAGCCGCTGTAAACTCGTCAGGAGTCTAAAGATACAAAATATATGAGAAGAGTTTAAAATGAAGTTCAATTCAAGTGATTTTCCAACTCAAACTAAGCAGAACGTGGTTACTTTACCATAATCCTCCATGTTGGACCCTCAGCAGTCGCCTCCTTCTTGAAAAAGAAACGGCTATATATGCCATCACGGAGCTGATATTCCTCCGGCAGACCCAGAACTTCAACGATGCACTTCATCTGCACACACAATATACACACACACATCATATGACAATCTGTGCAAAAAGTTTCACTTTGTCTTTGGTTAGCTTACGTTGTCTTATTTAAGTTTACATACCATCTGATAGTCGCAATCAACCGGGAAGAGATTGTCAGATAGAAAGAGGAAGGAGAGGATGCAGCCCAATCCCCAAACATCTATAGACTCGTTAAAGGGAAGGCCGAGAGAGACTTCAGGAGCCCTGAGGATGGGAAAAAAAAGACCCCAAATATGTAATTTTGTTGAAGTTACGTATGTGTGGTCAAGATGATGTTGTAAATGTTTACTTCGACTGGAAGATCCTTACTTTTATTTCAGAATAAAAATCAGGTTTGAATTCAAACAGGAAGTTATTTTTTAGCTTTATTCAGTACAAAACTTCAAATTAAAATCTAAACAAAACCTTTTTTTAAATGTGAAATAATGACATTTTAAACATGCAATTAAAAATGCAATTAACTATGATTAAACAATTTCTAATTAGCTTTTAATCGCATACTCACAGAAGTCTTAATTTGATGTGCAATTGTTGGGAAACACAAGAACAGCATGGATATTTAAAACAAAGTGGATGAACTGATTTGCATTGCAGGATAAACGTACCTGTATCCTCCTGGTTGAATCTCCTGACCTAGCTTGGCTTTGGAGGCTGGTATGGCCTCACCAAAGTCAATCAGTTTGACTTGTAGCAGCTGGTCCTGCCTGTTGACGAACATTATATTGTCCGGCTTGATATCAGTGTGCACGATACCAAGACTCTTCAGGCCATCCAGGGCGACCAACAGCTGCAGGGACAAATCAGAAGAGTTTGAGGTTGTGTAGAGTTCAGGGCTGGAGGGTTTGATCTGTAGCTGAGCAGATAACTGATTTCATATGATAATGTTTACATACCTGCTTTGCAATTGGCCGGATCGCATTCAGAGAGAGCGGTTCCCAGTTTCTGTCTTGGAGCAGGTCGTAGAGATTCCTATCCAGCATCTCAAATGCTAGACAGGTCTGTCCCATGTACTCAAACTGCTCGAAGAACTTCACCATATTGGTATTGTCTGGATTGAGGGCAGAGATGACCTTTAAGGTGGACACCTAATGAGACAAGAGGAGACACAACAACCAGTTTATAAAACTGTGAGGCCTTCTGATGGAGCAGACAGAATCTACAGTGTGTAAATACGTTATAAAAAATCAAAAGGAGTCGAATAATCTACCTCTTTCTCAGCATCCAGGATCAAACCAGAGTCCTTTTTCAGGATCTTGATGGCCACTGTCTCTTTGGTTTCAAGGTTCAGGCACTTGGCCACTTTGCCAAAGCAGCCTTCCCCGATGAACTCCAGGACGGAGTAGGCAGACGTGCTGCTGAACAGGGTTTGACCTGCCTGAATGTCAGTCACAAAGACTGGAGAGCAGGGAGACAATATATTCAAGTCAGTATGATTTGAGTCTAAGAGTATTGAATATTACACAATGTCAACACAGAGCATGAAACTGTACAGAGTTTAAAAGTATTTCTAGTTTCCAACTTTTGCCCCTAGTCTGGCTTTTGAGTGTTTACTTAAAAATAGACAACATTCAGTATAAAAACCTCTTAAGACCCCCATAAACCCCTCCTAACACTTTAAAACAACAATGTTACAACATGTTAAAATCTGTTTTGAGTCTTACCAGGTGACATTTTTACACAGGCGGTGATTTCCAAAGCTGGAAATGAACCTTGAAGTTCGAATCTTTACAGATTCACAGCACACAAACAGACAACAACGGCAATAAAACAACAACAATAATAAAACAACAATAATAAAACAACGCTTCTCTCAACAATAAATCGCTCGCTACAACTAGAATAAACTCTCTCTCAAAATATGTGTCTCTCCTCTCTCTACTCTCTCAGGGGACTGACCAAAGTCTTGCAAACTGCTTCCCTTTAAAACTCTGTCTCCTTATGACATCAAAACATTCTAGAACTTAAAGAGGTTATGAGGTCATAATGTCTGAAATTCAAACGCAGCATTTTCATAACATTCTGAAAAACATGTTTTTATTCAAACGGCCTCCTGCTGCCTTGCACCTTTATAACTACATAAAGACGGGTTACATTTTATTAATTTAATCTCTTTCTTTCATGTAATTGATTTCTAACCAAATAGTTTTTTAAATTAAACCTTGGATTTAAGAATTTTCAAAATGTCCGTGTGTTGTTTATCACACTTTTTAGGATTGAATTCTTCTTTTTAGTGACGATGATTAAAACCAGTAAAATATTAGATACTTTTATATTTTATTTCAGACCCATAGGTCCATATCATTATAAAAAAGCACTCTATATGTATATATATATATATATATATATATATGTGTGTGTGTATATATATACTGCGTATATACAGGACATTAACAAAGAGATATAATCACTACCTTTCACAGTTTGTCAGCAATTAAAATACAAAGAGACATTTGCACCAGTGTT